ATATATATGTATAAAACAACATTGTGACTAATTTATGATAAGAATTGTTGGCTATAGGCTGTAATATAAATAGGTAGTTTTTTGTCGATTGTAAACTTGACCTTTGACCCTGACCCTTTAAAATACAATCATCTCAAGATCATTGGTTATGAAACATTGTGACCAAGTCGGGGACCAAGTTTGACAAGTTTGTGATAAAAACTGTGGCCCGTAGGCTGTTCACAGACAAACATACACACAAACAAACATGGGCGAAACGTAACTTTGGCGGAGGTAGAAAGTAGACAAAGAACTACTAACATTCTTCAGAAGGTGACTACCTTGAAGCATATATTTTATTTAAAGAAAAGCCCTCTTTTAGCATGGGGGAGGGGAGTGGGTTAAGGGGGTTACGACGAACCGCCCAAAAACTGGAGAAGGTCCGCATTTGAAAACGACAAATTGATATTCGTAGATATAGTTACATGTTCTCCAGAGTACCGGAGATCATACAAGCCAAAGGGTCCATTTCCCACTGAAACCAACCTCTCACATATTAAGTCACGCTACGGGTCTGTTCAGGGTTACAATTAAAGTGACTCAAAAACAGCACTTAAAGTCTAATTATTCTCATTATTTATATTAATTAATTGGCTCAATTATCAGGGTAAACTTAGCATATCAAAGTATATACAGGCATACATGAACATAAGGATTTCTTGAAAATCACTTGTAGACAAACAGGCATGAATCAGTATCAAAATAATAATTATGTAGTAGCAGAAGTAATAATTTAGTTACAAGCAAAAGTATGAAGGCATGCGGCACAGAAGTGTGAATTGAGGTTTCAAAGTCTTAGGCTTGGCATCTGCATAGGCAGGGGCAGATCCAGAGATGTCCAAAAGGTGGGGGGGGTGGGCCGAAATTTGGGCCGATCGGGACAACACTGAAATAGGAGGTCCGAAATTTTTGTGTTTTAGATGCCTGAAAATAACATTTGAGGCGTTCTGGGTTATCGTTTTTTCTTTTTCTTTCTTTTTTCTTTTCTTTTTTTTACCTCTAAAAATCCACCCCTGATAGGGTTTGAACGTGAAAACTGTGTTCGCTGCGAAACGTTGATTCGACCCGAACCATGTCCTAATTCACACAAAAACATGGTTGAGTTGAGTTGGCGCTGAGACTATATACAGCAATAGTATAAGTTTGGCGCTATTCAACAGTATAGGATGTATTGCATATAATATCATTTTTGTAATAATAACTTTGAAAAGTAAACTGCCTAGTTTTTAAAGTAAATAGAGTTGTAAACCTCGATTAAATAAATAGATCCAAAACAAATTTCCAAACCACTCTTAAAATAAAAGTAAGGCAAATAGATAACCTAAATAAAGTAAATTTAACTGAACTACGCTTTGTTAGCCAAATATTTTATTTCCAGAGCAGTATTAGGCTATTATAATATACTGGAATTCTTGTCAACAAGAGTTTCACTGGGTTGAATCCTACTTGGAGTTATTAGGCCTAATATTATGTGTGTTTCTTTTTTTAGGTGAGCAACATTTCCACTTTGTGTGACGTAAAGTCTTTCACTAATGGCTCTGTGATAGTTGAATTTGAGTTAAGTTTTTCTCAAGGCACCAACTACACAGTTGATACTCTTGCGGCTGAAGTAAATTCTTCATCATCCCAAGTGTTTTATGTACTTGACATAAACGTAGTAGGTGTGTACTATGGTACTATGAATTGTGTCAATAATGCTCCCTCTATTGCTTACAACTTGGGTTGCACAATGCACCAAACTGCAAATGTTACGTTAAGATATACTCACAAAGCAATTTGGTGATTAGTTATTTAAACCCATTAGTGGCATTCGTATACTTATAAGAACACACTGCGGCCAAATGCCATGGAGCGTTCTTTAAAAAGGAATAACTGAAATTAGTCGGTTTATCCAGGTAAGTACCCTATTATCATTACTGCTGATTTGTGAATTTTAGGGCTATATGTTAATACCCTATAAAAATGCAAACATTTTCACACTTACTGTTTAATGTAAAAAGTTACAAAAGGAAACGAATTGAAAAAAGGCTTTTTTGATTGTATTTTTTAACACCAATTTATATCTTCACCTTTATGGTAGAAATATAAAACTTAATAATGAAACAAATACAATTTAGAAATCTATCTTTAAATGAACGAATCATATTGATTTTGATTGTTGTAGGCTGGTATGACTCATTGTATCTTACTATTTGGTCTAAATTTAACATTGCAGATTTAAATGAGCCAGAAATTGTGTGTCCAGATGACTATAGCGAGT